GTGTCCTTCAAAACATTTCTTGGATTAATTGCAATTTGTAAAGCTCAGCAAGATGCTTAACTGGAATGGTGCCAGGCAAGGGCAGCATCTCTTTTATTATGAATGTTGAAAAGCAGCAAACCTGAAGGATGTCCTTGGACTTCTATCTATGGCTTGGGATGCAGTAGGCATTTTGAAGGTGTCATAGCTAATGAGTGAGTAGTGGAAAGGATGCGAATTAATAGGGCTGTGGCACTTAGCAAATTAACTCAGGCTGATTAACAGAACTGTAAAAACTTAAAAAAAACCCCACCCACTTACTGAGTGCTGGTGTCTGAGATGGGGGGGGGGACCTGAGGACAAGGTGGTGTTCAGGCAGGACAGGGATCATTGCAGTAAGAGCTCTTGCACACTCAGAAAGAAAAACCTCCCTGTAGGAATGCCTTGCAGAGAGCTGTTCTGGGGAGAAGAGCTACCTGCTACTCCCATTGCCATTCACACTGCTAAAGCCTTGATTCCTCAGGCTGGAGACCCCCCTCCCTCCCTGCCAGTGGAACGCTGGTCTTTTATATAAATAAAAATACCGCTCCATCCTTGCAATGGCAATACCTCTTATTCTTCCAGCACTTGGCTGTTCCCTTATCTCACAGCAGAAGGTGCACCGTGTTGCACCTGAATGCATCTTATTTCAATATTGTACAGAGCAATACTTTTTTTTTTTTTCCCAGAGATATATAACTAGCTGTAAAACTCATTTGTCACTAGATCATTTGGGGACCAAGAATTTGGGATAGGAAAAATGATTGAACAATAATATCCTAATGGATATAGTAAGGCACTGTTTGGTTCTTTAACTTAATACTGGAATTTAAATCAAACTTTTGGAGTATTTTTTCTTATATACAAGGTTTGCGGGGATTTCCTCCTCCCCCTCGACAGACACAGGAAAACACTGATTCATTGAAACCAAAAGTAGATGATAAAGTCAGTTCTGTCAGAATTGTCCTGTAATGCTGTGAAACGTTCTTACCACCCTATTTCAAAGGCACAAAGAATTGGCAGCAATCTTCCAATTTACTGAGTCCAGACCTCATTCAAACCTTTCTATAACTGATTGAGATCTATTTTGAAATCAGCCAAGCTTCAGCATTTTGTGAAAGAAAAAGCTCCTTTGCTGGTTTGAAAGGTCTGTCTTTTTGAAACTGGAATCACAGAATCACAGTGAAAGGTAGGCAGGAGCAGCCCCCGGGAGGTCACCCGTTCCACCCGCCTGCTCAAAAAGCACAGGTTCAATTAACATGAATGATTCCAACACTGCTGAAATGAAATGTTTTGATTGAGCTGACAGTGATAATTTTCTTTTATCAGTTTTGAATTTGCAATGCTTTTTGAGGCTCGACATTTTTTTTTGGCAGGTAAGAAGCTCGAATTCCCAAAGAGATTTTATTTCTGAGAATGCAATGTTTTTAGACTGGACTGACCAGGATACCTTGGGATGTTCAGTTTACAATGTAATTCCAGCTCATGAAAAATCCTGGGTGGCCACTTCTCAGCATGCAAGCAGGATGGTCCCTCCCAGTGACACCAACAGCACAGGATGGGACAGGCAGCAATAACGCTGCAGGGGTCTGGGTACCAACAGAGTGGGGAATTTGATACTCTTGGATATCTGCTAAAAACTTCCATCTTTACCTCATGGTTACTGCATATTTTTGTTGGTTTACTTGTGCCTCCCCTAATGCACCCCAGAGATGTAACAGAGGATTGTAAGAGCCACACATTTGTCCCAGCCCAATAAAATCTGGGGGGCTCATAGATCCCATACCCCATAGACCCCCCCCGATCCATAGATTGTCACACGTATTTGTTTTGCTAGGGATCTGGAAGCGCTAGGCTCCCTCTCAACTTACCTGCTAGTGTGCAAACAAGGGAAGCCAAGAAAGTGGCTTGGATGAGAAAATATGAAGCTGGATGAATCTTTTCTACCTAACTACATGGAAGGTGATGGGCAAAGCAGCCTAAGAGTGAGTTTGATTTCTGTGGTTGGGGCAGATATCCAAGATTTCTGTTCAACATTCTGGCTTGGTCTCTCAAGCAAAGGGATGGTGTTTCCTTCCTATCTTTCTATCTTGTGAGCCCTGAGTGAGCACTCTTTGGGTCTGAGACTTCCTGTGTGTGCATGTTCACTGCTGGGTGACACCTGAACGCTGCGTGGCACGAGGTTTCTGCTTGCATGGCCCTGGTAGCAGTGGTGGTGCCTCAGGATCTCTGCAGGCCCACCATGAGACAGCCAGGAAAACGCACCCCTCTACAGAGGTGTCCCCAAATGATCTTGATGCTTGGACTACACACAGCCTTTTGCAGACGTAATGGGAAGGAAAAATGATACTTATGAGAAATGCACGAGGACTGAAATGCAAAAGTGAAAATGTTTTATTGAAAAACAAAATAAAATAATACTGACACTTCACAGACCAAATATCACAACAGCAAAAACATACAAAAAAGAGAAGGGAAAACTCTGGAATAACTGTACAACGTCAAATGGCACAGGGTTGGGGAAGATATTTTTTCCAATTTGTGCCACTCTGTTTCCCCATGAAATAACAAAGAGGAACTTTGTATGAGCTGCATATTGATAAATGTTAGGTTAGAGCACAGAAACTCAAATAAATCAACTGAACTAGACAGATGCTGTGACAGAATCCCATAATGGAAACCACACATGGCATAGGATGAAATGGCAGGCGTATTTGAGGTGCTTTGCAGATCTGCATTACGGCTGGGACGGGGGTTTACCCCTGGCCTGACAGCTCCCTGTATAGCCAGAGGTAAAACTCCCAGGGGCGCGGAGCCTGCTCCAGCGCTATTCCTTCCACGCTGCTCCCTCCAGGGATTTAACTTCCTAAAATAATCAGACTAGAACATCAGCAGAAGTTCTCCTGGTACCTCAGCCAAAAGTGAGATGTGATATGGTGAGGTCTGGGATGTTAACTGAATTTATTTGTATTTTTGAGTCAATTTTTTAAAAATTAAATTGGAATCTAACACAGTTCTGCTTTGGCCTCAGGGCCTTCCCGTCTGCCTGCAGATCTGGCAACTGATCACAGAGATGCTGAAAACACACAAAAAAAGGGTGAAGCTGGGCAAAATGACATGGTTGCAATGGCTTCACAAAGCTGAGCATGGTTTTGGATGCTATCTCATACAAATGAGGCTTTCTGGAGCGTGGGAAGCAGCTCTGCCCCTCCACAGACAGCCACAGTAGAAAAGCTCATAACAGCAAAGCTTTTAAGCACCTCTGAGCAGATAAGGAGCTCCACTGCCTTCAGTGAAGCTGACTGCAATTTTACCTGCTTAAAGCAAAGCTTACCTGGGGGGACAGGGGAGAGGATGAAGAGGAAGGTGAGAAAAAAGCTCTATCTGCTTCACATTTGTACAGTACCTGCCCAAGGGCATGGGTGGCTGTGGCTCCCCACTGCCCTGGAATAACATTATTAATCATAAGATACTAAGAGCAAGGGGCTTTGCTGAGGCCAGGATTCAGTCCCACACCTTTAAGGCTGGGCTGTTCACCAGGACACCCTCGAAGCTCCCTGCTCAGCTGGGTGAGTAGTGCATAGACTCCAAATTGTAATGCTTTTTTAATGCCATTATGAATGGCTGTGCTTCACCCACTGGGCACCAACAGAATGAAAGCATGAGTCAGAGGTGACTCAGGAACAACCATTATCGACAAAAAATAAGCACGCACTTAGTGAGCGTAATACTGAATTCCACAATTAAGTAGGCACGCCCTTGCATTGGGAGCTACAGGAAGATGGAGACACCCCCAGAGCTTGTAGTTTTATGTGAAAACATTGCAAATAACAGTACCAGTCAATGCCAGAGTCCTGCTGTACTTTGGTCTGTCCTACAAGGGAAGGGACACTCCCCTCTTCAGCCTGCAAAGCTGGTCTGCTAGGGCTGAACTCACCAGCTCCTCTCCTATGCCTGCTGCCTCCCATTGAAGCAAGGATTGGTACTCAGTGGTTTTTTGTATTTCCATTTTGTGCAAAGGTTGCAGAAGCTGAGACACATCCTCTCTTCTGCAGCTCTGGGCTGGAAACAAGATGGGTGGAGACCTGCTTTGTAAAGCCAAGGTTAGTTTAAACCTGAGCCCTGAATTATGAACGGTGATATTGTTCATACTCAGGTGGAGAACACTGAGTCTTCATAGAATCATAGGACAATTTGGGTTGGAAGAGACCTTTGAAGGCCATCTAGTCCAATCCCCCTGCAGTGAGCAGGGACATCTTCAACTGCATCAGGTTGCTCAGAGCCCCGACCAACCTGACCCTGAATGCTTCCAGGGATGGGGCATCTACCACCTCTCTGGGCAATCCGTGCCAGTGTTTCACCACCCTCATTGTAAAAAATGTCTTCCTTATATCCAGTCTAAATCTACCCTCTTTTAGTTTAAAGCCATTACCCCTTGTCCTGTCACAACAGGCCCTACTAAACAGTTTGTCCCCATCTTTCTTATAGGCCCCCTTTAAGTACTGAAAGGCCACAGTCAGGTCTCCCTGAAGCCTTCTCTTCTCCAGGCTGAACAATCCCAAATCTCTCAGTCTTTCTCATAGTCTTACCCAGCTGGACAGAGCTAGTAGTTTTTAATAAGTTCAATTAAGTTTGTAGGGTCTCCTGGGGAACTGGACATGTGTCCAGTGTCATTCCAGAGGCCTCGGCAGCACCTTGCATGATGCTTTCCCCCAGCCAGCAGCACAGACAGTAGGTGGGTTCAGTAGTAAATTGGGGTTCCTTGTAGTGCTTGTGAAGTCCCTGAGTTTACTCCACAGAGAAGCACCTCTCAGACATGCTCTGTGGCCTGTACTAGTGAGATATTTCCCCTGGATTACAAGCATTATGGTCCTGAAGGATCTAGGGTACTTGGGAGACTGCAGTCCCAGACGCTGACCACTTATTAGTAGAAATGCTACAATACAAGTATCACCTAGCAGAGCACTTTTTTTTTGTTGTTGTTGTTAAATGCTTTTATAGCAGCCATTTCACATTGCCGAACTATCTGAAAGCACCTGCTCCTACAGAAACGTGGGGAGCAAAGATGAGGAGCCTCAAGAGTCTACACTCCCCCCACTGAAGCAGAAATCTGTGATCCCATGGTGATCAGGACTATACAGCTGGGACATGTATGAAAGGCTCGATACAGGAGCCATCTTTCAACCTGTCCCCCAGCCTCTGTAACAGGACCAATGATCAGGCAGGAACGAAGCTGCTTAGGATAGGAAAGGAGCTCTGTCCTAGATGCTAAAGAATGTCACGTAGGAACTGGAATTAGGAGTACTGGCCAATACAAATACCATGCTATCACAAGGTGCTGGCTGCATCCCACCTGGATAGTGCAAATTTAGACCTTGAGCCCAGGGCTTGTGCAGTTGATGACAAGGACATGCATTTGCAGAGAGGCAGTGTATGTATCTTTGGTCTCTCTACCACCAGGGCAGTAGAAAAGCTGCAGGGAGGCACAACTGGTCCTCTGAAATGCCTGGGACACAGTCTTTCATGGCAAAAGCCCTGAGTTCCTTCCCACTCCCTGGCCTAACTTGTGGATTTTTGGGGCTTGTTTTGTCTTGTTTTCTGATGGAATCAAACATCTTTCAGGGATACGCATGAGCCCATCAAGGCTCAAACTCCTGTTAATTTTTTTCACTGGCATTTCCACCTGCAGCTGTTTCCAGAACCTGCCCTTTGGGAACTTTGATTTCTCGCCTTTCCATTTAATGACAGTCAAGGCCGCCCTGGCCTTCTTCAGCTCCTTCACTTTGCTCTTCTTGATGGCTTTGTACTGCACTAGAATGACTTTGATGTTGCCCTTGGAGGCCATATTCTCTAGACCAGCCTTGAGCTCCAGCAGGGCCTGTGTCCCCTGCAAGACGTAGTTGGGGCTCAGGACAACAAGTAGACGTTGGCTTTTCTGGATGAAGATCAGGGTTTCGTCTGTGACAACTGGGAGAAAGAAACATTGAGGTGGTTAGTGATGGCCAAGAACATGCTGCTGAGCTGCTAGTGTGACACCAGGGGTCTGTTGAAGGGGACACTAAAATCCCTTGGTGGCCCTCTCTGGAGTCTATATTGGTGCTTCCCAACCCTGCAAGTGATTCCAGGTAGGGCCTCCTACACCATGGCTGGTACCCACTGCCCCATACAGTGGCATCTTCTACTCCCAGCCCCAGGCTGCCTGCAGATGTGTTTCCTCCTCCCATTGCTACACAGAGATGCCTGAGGTAGCTACATCTAAAAGGCACTGTACTACATGGCAGTGACACCACCCAGTGCTATGAGGAAGCCATGTGGCCAAGAGGGCTGCTCTGGTAGGCTCAGGCTTAGCTTCCTTCAAGTAAGAGTAGAAAAAGAGGCTCTCTGGAGCAAAACAGGAAAATTGCCAGTTGGACAACACAGGACCTCAAGGAAAAAAAGACTCTGCCTGAAGAGGCATCAGGAAGCCCAAATGCCTACGCTTACATCCTCCTCTGGCAGATGTCCAGAATGACTCTGGCTAATCCCTTTACTCCTTTTGTCTTGGTTTCCCCACACCAAACACCCACAGTAAGTATCTACACCCTCCCTGAGTGTTCTCATGGGTTAATTTGCTTTGGAAATATTACCATCCTAACTCCTGTTACTCATCCAGCTGTTCCCATTGCTGTCACTGATGAGAGCAGATTTGAGTGTTTCTAGAAGTGACAAATAAACTGTTCTGAGGACTTTTAATAAAGCGTCCCAAAAGTGACACCCTTCGAGCAAGGGACTTGTCATGGCAACCGCAGATCCTCTTTGATTTTCTAACATCTGCAGGTAGACTGTCCTTAGGCACCCTTCTGTAATTAAGGTGAGGCTTGCTTGTAAGTGTGAATCCTGGTGCTTGCACTCTCTGCTGCAGGACCTCCCACACTTCATTGACAAGGTAATGCTCTTGAGTGGTCAGAAAATACAATGGAGAAAAAAATAACGCTGATGGGCAACTTCATTTAGCTGTCAAGCACGTTTGATTAGTTCCTGTCAGCAAACTTGCAGGATAATCCATCTCCCACTGTTTCTTCGACAAGGGCAACATAACTCCCTACTTGTCACACAGATGCACACTCTGGAGGCATGACACCAGCTGCCAAAAGCTATTTCCTGGCCTGCCGTGCTTCCCCAAGAAGGAGATTAGTCAAATCCCAGCTACGAAGCACTGGGGAAACCCCAGCAGTGTTGCAAACGGCAGTGCAATGACAAGCCAGCCCAGCAGTGCCCTGGGGGGCTGGCGCTGGATTGAGGCTGGCAGGGACTGCCACGGGGAGTGCTGCGGGCATGAGGGTGAAGGGCAGGGAGCCCAGGAGAGCTGCATTGGGAGGAAAATGAGACCCTCCAAAGGGAAAAGAGAAGGATGTCAAGAAGCGGCAGAGGGAACATGAGGGAGATGTACATCTTGAGGAACAACTGGCGAGAACAGCTCAGAGCAAATCTGCTCCAAGCCTGGCACTAGCATCAAGCAAATAGAGCCTGAAGGGTGCCCTGCCATGTCATCCAGGCTCTCTCTAGAAGGAACAGCATCAGGATTGCAACTGTCTCCCTGTCCCCTGAGGCACATATATTTATTTGCCCTCAAACTTAGAGGTGCTGTGTCCCGCCAATGATCTAGGAGATAAAGATAAAAGATCCAAGACTGATTCTGCTCCCTCTGTCACACAACTGGGCTGGGACTCCAGGAGTCCCTCCTGTTCTATCCAAAAGGGGCCCCAGTGGACTTTATCAGCACAGGTTCTGCCATCAGTGGAGTCCTGACCCAAAGCCCACGAATTCCAAAGTGGGACAGTCTGCACCGGCAAAACTTCAGGCTTTGAACTTGTAGTAGGCATGAGGGATCACATGGCCAACTGAGCCTCCAGGACACTGAAAACTGAGAGCGTTGGCTAGATTTGTGCCTTTTCTGTGGCACCTGTGTGACTGTATCTCTATCTGGAGAGTTTCACAAATTTCCATTCTTGGTGATTCCCTGCACCCCTCCAGCAGACACTGCGTCCAGAACCTTGTATGATTTAGCTTGAAACAGTAAAAAAAAAAAAAAAAATCTACATCTTAATGAAGAGATGAGTCTCACTACTTGCAACAAAGTATTCTTAATCACAGCAACTTAATTGTATGACATGTTAGACACAGACTCTCTAATTAACGAGGGTGAGTAGGAGGCCTTCTGGGAGGGCACGTTATCTTCTTACTGATGTTGGCACAGTGGTCTCCACACCTCCTTGAAGCTGACACTCCTGGTTTTTACAGGCACTCACCATTACCCTCTGTGAGCTACCAGTCCAGTCCAGCATCACACTCCCTCTGCCTCTTTTCTTTCTAGCCTTGACTTTATCCCCCTTTTTTAAGGCAGCTCAGAGGGTTTGCATGAAGGTCAGCGGTCCGGTTCCCTCATGTTGATAGATCAATCACTCCTGCACATCACTCCTGGGGAGAGCAACTGAAACAACCAACAACCACCACTTGCCCACCGCAGCCTTTTTGGTGGCCTGCAGCATCTGCGACATTGTCGCGTGAAGCAAAAACATTAACGATCTCTTGTTGGTATCTTCTAGTGGAGATAGGGAAAAAGCACCCAAAGGGTAAAGTTAATCTGGGTAGGCCAGTTCCTATCAATTATCAGTACCTCAAAGAACAATAAAGAGAGGATGCGCATGGAGCACAGCCCCCTATGAAATACTCACTTCCCCCAGGGAGGCTGTCTCTGTCGAAGATACACAGCTTGTACCCAAACTCGTTCTCCAAGACTCCCCGCAGTGTAAGCAGCACAAATTCCTCCTCCTCCGCGTTGCGTGCGTAGGACACATACACATCGTACTCCTTCCCATCTGAGCATTGGGAGCGCAGAGAAACACAAACGGCAGAAGAGACACTTGTGATACTGCACATGCTGAGCCTTTGACTTGCTTCACGGGAAAAGCAGGTATGAAGGCTTGCTTTGAGCCCAGGCACCACAGGTTGAGACACATCGATTTCCATAGTTACAAGACAGCAGCGCTGCCTCTTTGACTACCTAGCCTGAATGTGCACGTACCCAGGCACTGCTGGGTTGCTGAAGGCATGAGACTGCAACAAGATGACCAACCCATTCTGTCCAGGGCCCTTTTGTCTTTTGACATCTCTGACATCGCTTCCTCTCATTGCTGTCTATCCACATGAGCAGTCCCACCAGACAGAGACTTGCACCCTGCCTACACCCTCTGAGAGCTGCTGCACCCCTTGGCAGGTTCACACCACAAGCTGCAAGGGCTCAGATACCCTCCTCATCCTACAGAGGAAGAAATCTCAGCTCAGAGTCCCAAGACGTGAACTCCCAGTAGCACAGGGAAGCTGTGAAAGAACTGAGGACAGAAGGGTGATTTCCAGATCCATCCTTTTGGATGCCTTCCCACATTTTAAAACAAATCATCCTGGATTCGTGAATACTTACAGAGTCACCAAAGAAACCAGGGACTTACTGAAACTTGGCGACTTATCTTAACCATCTAGATCAGATGAAACAGTTAGCCATCGGCAGGGTAGTCCCCCAGGGAGCCTGATATGTCCATGCTTCACCTCTGCAGAGAATAGAGAAGACTTCTCTCTTCTTTCCCCTGACCCAAGCCTGACTCCTCTTGCTCTAAAATGACCCACACAACTGAATGCAGATATACAAATGGAAGGTCAAAATGTCATTATATTGTGAAGAGGGTTTAAAATAGCTTGTATAAAAATTCCTGTATGAAAACTAAGGGTCTAGCCTCTAGCAGGAGAAAATAAATGTAAATATTTTAACCCCTTACCTAGAATGGTTTCATCTGTTCCAAAATGAGCCCGATAGAAGAGGACCATTTCAAGCCAATAAACGTGATAGATGACTATCAGCACCACAACGAGCAGGATGGTTGCCCCCAGTCCACAGGCCAGCTCCACGGTGTACTTTGGTGCTACAACTGGGTTCAAAAAGAAAGAGGGGGGGTCTGGTTTACAGAACAAGTTGGGCCTTCAGCTAAGCAAGTACAAGTTTGCGTCACACGCAGCCAAACACCACCAGCCAAGAGCCAAGCTGGCCCTTCAGCGGAAGGTGGCCAAGCCAAGGCTTTTCTGGCAGGACACGTACTGGCTGGCTACCCTGGAGCCCCCATTCTGGGTTACTAGGTCTGGCTGGGCTGGCAGAGCAAGTCAAGCCACAGGCTGGACTTCTGTCTCTGAGCAAGACCCTAGGAGCAGCCAGATGGTAGAATGACCTGTTGATGGAAATCACCTGCACAGTCCAAAGCCAGCTCTTGAGCGTGACCTTCTCAGCAGCATATGCAAACTCTTGGGGCAACACAACAGCACTTACTTCTAGGGGAGCAAGCCAAAGCTCACCTCCAGCAAAATAAAGGCTACGGCCATCATTTTCCCTCCCTAACAAATACATACAGTTCTTGTGGCTTGTTCCAGACTAACAGCAAGGATATAACTAGTCATGGCCTGACCATTTTCTACCAGGAAAGAAGAATCAGAGTTCATTACAGAAAAGCTGAAATGCTTGCAAACAAATAGGACAACCTGTGGACATCAAGGCAGAACATCACAGGCCTCCCTCCAACTCATACAGTGTCTGTGACACCACTGCTGCTTCTTTGTATTAAGGACAGAAAATAACTCTTCTAACTGTATCCCTGGGCAACTCCGGGTTTATGGCGATTCAGATGGCAGCTGACATGTACACTGGCAAACTGCATGATAAAAGAACAGCAGTGAGTGGAAGCATCATCAAATTCCAAGGTTTAATGTTTTATTAGAAACTGAACTACAAAAAAGAAAATTGAAGGAATTTAACAACTTTCATCAGATGATGAGCAGCAGTAAGTACATGAGAGGGAGAGGGAAATAATCCAGAAAAAGCAGGAAACATATATAACCTAATGTAATGAAAGGGTTGGAGCCAACATATATAGCTACTTGCTAAAAACTGGAAGACAAATGTTGAGGGGTTAGGTTCTGGCATGCTTGATGTTCCTGTGTGCAGCAGGATGGTCTGCAGTGAGCCTCGCTTGGGGTTGTTCTGCCAGCAGCTGTCAGGGACAGTTCTTGGATTTTGCTGTGGAACAGGGCAGAAAGGAGGGGTGGTGAGTAACCAGGTCTGCTCAGAGCAAACCCACTCAACTGCCCAGTAGCAGATGGGGGAGGAAGAGACAAGCTAGTACAGATCAGTCCACCAGAAAACAGCATTTAGGCACTTCTGTATAGAGGAAGAATCTGAAGATTTTAGATTTTCTTCTGCTACATGTCCAAACATTATCATCCCAGAAAAATTACATATGTAGGATGAACACACCAGCAGATGGTGTCAGCCTTTCTCAGTTGTGTGTTTGGTCTATTGTTCCTTCCTAATGATCCAGAAAAGGTTTGTCTGAAAGGAATGGGACTAAAAAGGAAGGAGGATGAGTACCAAGAAGGAAGAGAAAGATCTCTTGCAGTAAAGACCTCTGTGACCCTTCCCATGCTAATAGGGAAGAGTGGGGGGAAGGTGGTGTCCAGCATGAGCTACACAAGGCAGGGCAGCATCCCTTATGGGAGAGGGGAGTTCCGACCTACAGCAAGCAGGTATTGAAGCTCTAGATTAAGTTGATAAGGCAGCAGAAATATCCACCTTGATCTGGAAGCCTCACATACCTACAGTGAAGGCTCTATTCTTATTACTGAGAGGTGGGTCTGGGAAACAGGAACAAAATCTTTGATGAAAGAAAGATGTAAGAGAAAACCTACACTGAACAGAGCTGGATCCGCCCATATCATCTACACTGAGATGGCTGTATCTAGACTGGAGCATCATCACAGCAAGAAGTAAGACCACAGAGTGTTGTGGTTAGACTGTCTCACCCCCTGAGCAATGCCAACGAGTGCAGTCTGCCTTCTGGAGGATGCCAACCGGTAGCTGTTGTGTCATGCAAAACCCTCACACAATCAAGTAACCTGAAATCATTTCAAGCAGCCTTTCCCCTCAGGTCTGCTTCAGTTGTGGTACATGGATGGGATGAGAACAACAGGTCCATCCATGCCTCTCTCTCCCCAGGCACTTGACCATGGCAGGGTATATGTGACACGCGTCCTTCAATCCCTGCCTCCGAGAAGTGGTGCAGTACGGCAGAAATAATACAGCCGTGCATACAGAACAGCGTGTGCTGGGGAGAAAGGCCTTATGGAATTATTTGTTCCCCTACTGTTTTGCAGGGCAAGGCTCAAGGCAGGCCCGACCGCCCTCTCTGAGCATGCCTCATTTCACACCCCAGCTCTGCAAGTATTTTACCTTTCATGTGCACGATGGCCTGACTATGGTCCTCGCCTTTGGCATTTCTGGCATAGCAAGTATAATTCCGTTTCAAGTCCTCTGGTGTGGCTTTTGCAACTGTTAGAGTCCTTATGACAGTTTTGTCTTCAAAATCTCTAGTAATTTCACTGTAAGGGAAAAACTAGAGCATTACATATGTGAAACTGCAGAAGTTCTTAGTGACAAATACTCCTTTCCCTGATACAATTCAACCCTTTCTTTAAAAAAAAAAAAAAAAAAAAACCACCTAAACTGATCTTTATAAATCAATACACACTTCAGATTTTAATACAGCTGCAGCTGTTCTTTATCCGATTTTCCTTAATATTTATTTTGCCACTTGTAATTTTCTCATTGCAGCTGTGTCACGTTGCATTTTACAGCTAAAGGAAGCAACAAGATCTCATGAGCTCAGGATTCAGAGCCCACATGACATTCCCTGTGCAATCCTGGATGAGTCACTTTGTCTCCCTCTGCCTGAATTGATCAACTACAGAATGAAATAGTATTTCCTCTTGCCTTTCCTCTTCTACGTAGGTGTGCAAACTGACCGGGGCAGTAACTGCCTTCCACATGTAATTCAGCACCCAGCAAACAGGACTCTAAACCTCATTTGAGTTCTTCATGTAACTGAATCTCTATTCCTCCTAATTAATTCTATGTATAATACTACATTTTCATTTTCAGCTTCTGTTTTTTGAAACATTTTTATCACTTACACTGTTTGGGAACATTCCTCTAAATAAAACTGTGTCTGCTCCTGTTTTAGAAGTCCCACAATAGCACCGGCTGTTGGCATCACTACCAGGACCTGAACAAGTGATGATGTGAAGTGGCAAACAAAGCTCCCTCAAATCGTTCTGTAAGATGAGACAATGTCCAGGTCCGGAGGCCTCCTCCCTGGAGCTTCTGGTGCTCATCACAGCTTGGTGCAGGCACAGGGGTTTCTGATTAACAGGGAACTGGGGGACTCCACACTCCTTTACATGGGAAAACAGGACTGTCGCATGTCTGTACCCACACCCCTCTGCAGGACCCAAGAGAGGGTTAGATACAAATGAAGGTTCACGTTACTGTTTTACCTTTGTGTGACTTTTATCTTGGGGTCCATGATGTCATCTGTGTTTTTCCCATCTATGGTCCACCACACCTCAGTCCGGGAGTCCTTCAGGAAGGTGAAGAAGACCTCACAGGACAGAACAAGGTCATCTCCTAGGAAGAAAGGACCACAGTGAGGTATTGCAAATCAGGAACAGCATCACCCTGACTTTTGTGCTTTCCAGTGATCCTACCAGCCTGAGTTCTGCCTCCCTCCAGGAGGGAATGAGGCCAGCAGCCGCCTTCAGACATCTGGTAACAGTTTAACACCCCAGACATGTTGATTTATGACAGACAAATAAATAGGAAAAAATATCCTGCCTTTGCAAATGTGTTACAAATTCCTTGACTGCACCAAGTGACCCACCCAAAGGGAGATGCTCCATGCCAACCAATTCCTTGGAAAGCCAGGCAGCATTAATCATCCCCACTGCACAGGGGACAGATACCATAAAGCGAAGGATCCAGCTCCACAGAAGTATTCTGGTGTGGGAACACTTGTTCAGGCATTTAACTTCCCCTCAAGATCAGGCTTGGGAGTGTGAATATCTTTGCGATCAGCCTGTAAGTGATTTTATCTTACAGAGTGACTGTGGAACAAGTTTGACCTTCTGAGCCAAAAAAGCTGTCCTTTAAAGTGAAGACTCTGCTGCTAATCATTATCATTGGCACCACATTTATTACAGCAATGTAATGGGGCATGATCCATTCAATACAAGGAATTGCTCCAAAGAGCTACCAGTCTAAACAGATGGGGTTGGGGAAGGGGTGCGGTACCCCGTTATACAGTGCTGTGAGGCCAGCAAAAGGAGAGCTGTCATTAGTTTGGAAGTAATCAGCCAAAAAGGGAGAGGAGATGAGCAAGAAGGCTGAAGCTACTGAGGGGAGGAATGAGGGAGGGTTGGAGCAAACCACAGCCTGGGACACGGCTGACACAAGGTCCTACAGGAATTTCTCTATGCAGCTGAGGGTCCCTGTTTCATCTGCTTCTGCAGCTGCAGTCCTGCATCTCTGTGCCTGAATGTCTATCTATATTTGTGCTTGCAAAAATAAACTCTTAAAGCTGTGCTCTCCTATTCTAGCATCAAGAACTGGCACCTCACGCTGCCTGCCAGGCAAGTCGTGGTAGCTCACGTGCTCTGTGAAGGAAAGCACTGGGGATGCAGTAGAAGGGGAGAGCTTCTGTGCCTGGCTGGGTCTCCCCACCCCAGCAGGCAGGCTGCCAGTGCAGCGACAGCAAGCAGCAAGCCTTGCAATTTACCTGCTTCCAGTTCGTAGACAACTTTCTCATTTGGAGAGATGAATTGTGGTGGCAATGCCTTGTTTGGAGATCCTGCGGGAGAGAACAGAGAGCCCCCCATGGGGACCCAAACTCCATGAGAACCTGGGGTCCTTGCAGCCTTGCTCATGGTCCCCTTGCGCCCTGCTGCCTGTGCCCCAATCTAACTTGCGACACAATCCTGCTGCAGACTTGCATGCAAAGAGAAATCTAATCCTAGTCCCCAAACTCAGGGCCAGACCCAGATTTTGAGGCTCTTCCAAAGTTTAGGTAAGTCCAGATACAAGTTTTTGGGCCTCCCACTTCAGAAGAGCTCCATACCCCTCTCATCTCCCACAAGATGCAACCTGTACCAGTTTCTCTTTATTGCTGCTTCTAAAAAAACAAAATACAAGCATTATTTCCTATCACCAAGTACTTAATTTAGCTCTTAAAGCAGCAGTTGCCATAGGACTCAGCATGTGCTCTACTGTTTATGAGGTTTCTAAGCTCTGTCTACAGTTCCCTGGCAGGTAGGCTGAGCCCTTGTGCCTAGGACAGACCTGTTCAAGCACTGGGCTGGGTAACTGGAGCCCTGCCTGGCCGATTAACAGTCTCAACCTCAGCACATGAGGCTTTGAGATTGCAAGAAGATCGAGGCAAGGTGGCTATAATGGGACAATCTCACTATGCATTCACATGCCAGCAGAGGGTACCCCTGGCCATCTCATGGGCTGTACCTCACCAGCCTAAGCCTGGTCGCCCTCTATGTTGTTTGTGGCATTTGAAATGGTAGCAGGTAGGACCTCCAGTGCAACATGTCCTTGGCAGTCCATGAGGCTGACCCCAGCAAGCTAAAATGCACCAGGTCAGTTGGGTAATGCAGACTGAGCACAACCACAAATGGATCCTGTAACAGACTCTTCTAGCTGTTTTCACCAGTTATTGACCTGCATTTTACACATTTTAAAGTCATTCTTACCCACCACCTTCATGTTTATGGTTCTGGTGAGATTATATGTTCTGCCGTGGTCCTTGAATGTCACAATACAAGTGTAATTCCCTTTATACACACTGCGGACACTGCCGATGACAAGCCTGGGCCCTTGGGGGTATCGCTCATAGAAGCCATCCACCAAGTTGCAGTTCTGGAGTCAGGTAGAAAAACACTTGAGTTTTGGGATTCAAAAGTAAAGATATTGGTTTAAATGCTACTACAAAGGTCTGTTTCTAAATTATGAATATGATACTTGGGCTTGTGATGTAGGTCAGACCTAAAACTTTGAGCATGTTGGAATACAAACTGGTACGTTCACCTTGAAAATGGGGTGATGAAGCAGATGACCCTAATAGTTTTATCCCACCTTAAATACAGACAATTTTATAAAAGAGGGATCTCTGATCCAGAAGTACATTTGCAATCAAGGTGACCACCTTAGCGGAGTGAGGAGTGAAAGTAAAGAGAGAAAGGTAGAAAATGCTGATGTGTTCACAAATGGATACTAGGACTAAAGGACATGTCCCCCGTTGATGTCAGCGTGTCCAACTCTTTCGAGACTAATCAAGCTCCCCTCACTGACTTCATATGAGGATGAGGCCCCAAAATTGGCAACTAGCAAACGAGAATCTGGAGTACAGAAACCTTAATAACTCTTCTCTTTCTGTCAGGCGAGACAGGAAACCTCTGCCAAGTACCAAGCTAGAGATCCCTTTTCAGAAAGGGGTTATGCAGATGACATCTTGTCATAAAAGCCAAAGATGTGCACATTTGCTAAGAGATTATTTCTGAATAGTACATTTCCAAATCAGATACATCCTAATGGGGCAGTTTAAGACAGGGGTCATATACCATTTTTAATGATTTTTATTAGGCATGGGATGACTTGCTGCTGAAAAATTACTTCCATGGGGCATTTGTTTCATTCTGCTAATTGATTGTTGAGACGTGAATTTCAATGAATGGTACAAGTAAAGCATTTCAATTACTGGAGTGAAACTGCTCCTCTCAGACACAAAAGTTTAAGTTTTTCCTGAAGGGTTTTAGAGAGATTTTTTTTTTTAGGGTGGGTTTTTACTTTTTTTTTTTGTTAAATCAGCAGATATATTTGTTTCCAACTTTCTTTATTATTAAATTCACTCGTACAGAACCTTCTATCTGGAAATCCAAAAGCACTTTATAAGCAGTTAGAGAATTCAGTCCCACAACCCTCTGGCTGCACAATCCCCTGAGAATTCTTTTTCTCTCTTGACTAAAGGCATCCACCTAGAGAAAAACACTGAGGTCAAAATTTAATAAAATTGAGCAGTAATTCTGCAGGCAAGAGCCTCAGGATGGCTGGAGACAGCCTAATTATCAGATCAGTATGGAGGGTGGGGTAGGGATGTCTCCATCTTCAGAAAAGAGGTTTGCTGAATTGTGTCAAACAGGGCATCCGTGGTCCTTGCAGAGGCCTGATGTACAACTTCATTTCCTGACCGCAAAGGATTGTCGAAAGGATGCCATTTTCACTAGCAGGTAGTTTGGGGGGGTTCTGGGGGGTTTTTTTGTTGTTGTTGTTTTTTACAGAAGAGGGAATATGAATTTCAGTTTCCCTTACAGGGACAGTGACTGGCTCACACAGTTCAACCGCAGCTGAACTGAGGTTCCTAAATCTCTGCTAGAGTATTCTCCACTTATGCACGCTGGTCAAAAAAGTTTCAATATTAGCTCTCAATTCCTTTCCAAAAGCGGTTTTACCCTTGAACACAATGGAAACAAAGCTCTTAAAATTAGTAAAGCTTCATTAACAGCTTCATCACTGGGGAGACTCTGAAACATAGCTCCATGATTCTCATGCCAACCACCAGTTTTTCAGATACAACACTGCATTCCCCCACTGCCCAAATAAGTCCTTCTTACCAAGTACCACTTGACAGTTGGTGTTACACTAGCAGGGTAAAACCCATCAATATCTGGACATATGATCTTCTCATTGGTCTGCTCCAAGTAGAACATCTCCTCAATGGGTTTTATTGAGTGGCTCACACAAGAGTGTTGGTCTTTCGGAACAACCTCCAAGGGAAATGCAACTTTGCTGCAGTAGGTTGTATTTCTAAGGACAGAGGAGGGTGGGGCCGATTAGGTGAAACTTGTTTACTTCTCCAGCAGTGGAATGAAATAAAAATCACATCTGCAATAACGAGCACCAGAGCACTGATGAGGTATATACAGCCTTAGTTGACTCATTTATAAATGGGAAAGAAAACGCCATCAGAAATGGCCACTCTAGCTCAGAAAAGCCTATAAAAGACGACTAACAAGCAACATCCACTCCCCTGCTGGTAAAGCAGATAATAGGGTCAAAGACACCATGAACAAGAGACAACGTGAGGAAGATCAAAAAGAACTCTTGGTGCTCAGTGCATAGCAGATGCACTGCTCATTTTGTACCACACTTAGAGACACTTTTAATTTCCTAGAAGTCTGAATCTCATGAATCTTTGCCAAATTAGCATGCAGTCAAAACATTACCCCTGCATCTGAAGCTATTTTTACTCTAGACATACAGATCGCTTCTTAATGGTGAGTGCCTGTGGATTTTGCCATGGGCTCAGCAATAATATTTTCACGGACACTTGCAGCTAGCAAGGAGAAGCATGCTCATTAACGTTTGCAAAGCTCCAAGCATTATTACGATGTAAATTGGCTCAGCACTGAGCGGTCTTATAATTGTACCATTCTTCTCCCATTAATGCTTATGTAAATGGTCTTCTCCCTACAGAAAGATCGGGTGCTAAGAGCATCATTTTCCCCCTTCCATGAAAGTCCTTCGATTATGCTGAAGGCATACAGAAGCTGCACCACACAACCTACCTGAGCATGCACGTATAATTCCCAGTGTCATTTTGAAGAGCAGGCCAGAACCAGAGGGTGTCTTTCTCCTTACTGATGTGATTGTCTGGGAGACGAAAATTAATGGGCTCCTCCAGATCCCGGTCCTGCCCAATCCTATACCAGATCAGGGTTAAGCCAGCAGAATGGGCTGTGCTGTAGTTGTACTTCAAGAAGGTCTCGAAAAGTGGGCATTTGATCTTGGCAGGTTCCCCATCATAAATCTGGATCTGCTTCATGGTGTCCACACCCCAGTCATCACAGCGTTCTGCAGCCAGGAATAACAAAGTACCTTAGCTTGCAAGTCTACAGGAAAAACACAGTTCTGCCCACGTTCCCCACAGCCCTTGGTCCTGTCCCCATTAAGATCAGAGGCAAAAAAATGTAGTGTTTTCAGTGGAAGCAAACTGGGCTTTTACAAAATAGAGCAAGAATACAGTGTTCACTTCCATAGCACCTGCAAACCTCTACTTTCATTTGTACACTTCCTACATTTCTTCCAAGCCATTTATCCCCCATCAGGACAGTAAGATAAGATATTCCTACATAACATCAGGCTTCCTAGAGAGCTCCAAGAAAATTCAACCCTAAAAATCGCGTGTGGGAAGATAAATTTGGATGGAAACAATGCTAGAGGTGTGTGTGCATCCATGCACAGTGACAGGGAAGACTGAAACAGAGGCATTGAAATAAGAGGCAAAAAAACCAAAAATGCAAACACCAAGCTTCCCTTAGAGCTATGGGCCATTGCAGCTGCCAGAAGAAGCTGGACTGTGGGTTCCGGGAGTAAGGACCATCTTTCCTGTGACATATTCACACGACGCCTGTGCACACTATGATAACACAAAGACTACAAGCACAGTTGCAACTGTTTATAGTGAAGTTTGGGAAGGGAGGCTGAGGGGCAGAAAAGACAATACGGAGGAGGTAGCAGCAGGTTCTCCTGAGGATCCCCAGGCAGCCCCCAGGTGCAATCCCCAAGCACAGTTCAAGAGGCTCAGTGTGGCTCACAGCAGACTCAGGCTGGCATAGAAACTGGGCAGCATAAGAAAAAGCCATGAAGTGCCTTTTTTTTTTTTTCTTCCTTCAATTTATCCTTGTCATTAGTGAATAGAGGGACTCAGTGCAGGCAAAGCACGGTACCAGGGTGTCAGCAAACCTGAGTGCAACCTGCACTGCCAGTGCCAGCTGAGACACACGGAGAAGCTGCTGTCACTGCATCTCCTCTCCCTCCACGCTGACGAGGCAGAGCATGGCACGACACGCTTCCCAGCGCATCTCTTGTAGCTGCTGGGAGGCATTAGCTAGGACAGCCTGATGTCTGAGAGCCCAAAATGAGTCGAACAGGAGAGGGGTATGCTGCCTGCAGCAGCCCCCAGGAGCGGTGTCTCAGCATATCACAGGCACACCAGAGACGACACTGCAAAGCCTCTCCGGTTTGCAGATATTAGAAGAACTCGGACCGAGAGGAAAAACAGAATACAATATGCTCTTTGAGCCCAATTCTTCTGAACTGACTTCACAGGCCCAAAGCAGGATTTCTGGCATTTTATCTTCCTTAAATAGACAGTGAGATATAGCTTGGCCCCAAATTCATACTTAATTTTAAAAAAAAAAAAAAGCAAAGAGATAAACCTTTGAGAAGACGGGTCCACAGTGCTTAAAGGCAGCTATGCTAACTCCTGTGGCTCAGCAATGGTAGTCACAGTGAGGAGGAATCTGGGCCAGTAAGAGTAGAAGTGTTTTCTGGCGGGTTTACCCATAAATGTAAATGTAAACTGCACTGCTCCTCCTGTGGTATGCCAAACACCCATATGACAGAGTGCTACTTCTGAAGGAAGAGAGCAAATTGGGCTAGGAAGAGGCAGTGAAGCTACCCAGAGCACAAGTATTTGCTAGTAGGAGCCCCAAACCCAAATGGCTGGAGAGTGCCACCACTCATCATCCAAGGAACAAATAGATATTTCTTGCAAAACTGCACAGCATCATCCAGTACAGCTGCTACCACAGCCAGCGCCAAGGCTTGTTTTGAAAGACCAAACCACTATGTTCCCACCATTAGTACCTTAAACTATGGGAAGGTGCACAGTCACCACCATGGTCAAGGCCATCTGGAACCAGTACGCTGCTTTATGCTGGTGGGGTCAAGCTACTGGATTAGGCATGGTGAAGTTTCCATAGAGTGGTAAATGAGACAAATGAGCCTGCCAGAGACTGCCTGCTAATTGCATGATAAAGCACAGACTATTATACAAGGAAGGGGGGCATTTGTTTTTACAAAGAAAGGAGCAGATCTGGGTCTGTAAATCAGAACACCAGGATTCTCTTCCCGGCACCTGACTTTGCTGTCTCCTCTTGGGCTGCATAAAGGCAAATTGTCCTTACTACTTCAAATGGCAAGACTGGAGAGGAAGAAAACTATATAAAACATTACAGTACTGAAATTCTTGGAGTCAAGATCAATGAAATTTGCAATCACGAACAGCTCTTGCATTTTGCAACAGCTCATAAATCAGCAGTGTAAAACTGCTTACCCGTTCTACCTGAATGAGTTATTGAAAATAAATACAGCTATTTTATTTTTCTTCTTCCTTCCTGGATTACTCAAAAGCAATGTATGGGCCTTGTCTTCTTGGCTGGGGAAGAGACAACCGTTATTGTTCTTTACTATAAGAGCTGTACCTGGAGATTTTGTCTCAGAGCTGGCTAATTCACCTGACTTCAGGAACACTGTCACACTGAACAGCTAGTCCTAAGGCTCCCCACATGCGTCGCGTCCTGCCTTGGGGTGCTGCGTGCTCTGAGCTGAGCCCCAAACACAGCACATAACTGTGCCGATACCGCACAGCTACACCACAGACCGCAGGAGCAGCCGTGCAAGCTTGAGATCGCAGGCTGTGCTTGCCACCCTGCTGGCAAGGACTCCTCCTGGCTGCCAGGGCAAAGCCAGCCCAACACGGCTCCGAGGGCTCAGGGAGCAAAGCCACGACCCATCACTCACGGCAGAGGTAGCAGAAACACCACAGGCTGGAGTGAGACCTCCTCCATGCATAAAACACGAGGACAGAAGTTGTGGCACTTTGCACAACTTCCCTCCTCCCTGTGCCATGCTGACAGTACTGCTGTTTCGATTGCTTGGGATGCTTTATGCCCAAGATAGCTGGGCTCTGCCTGACATGGCATGTGCGGGGACTGCAGGGCATCCCTCACACACACCTGTGTGAGCCTATTCCTCCTCGGCTACGATGGCTCTTCTCCCTGTGCCAACAACATCTTTTGCCATGGTGGCACCTTTGCAGCAGATCCCAGCAGATGGGTCCAGCCCAGACAGCCGGCTGCACTCCCTGCACGCGTGTAAAGCAGAGGCAGTGCTTGCATTATTATTGCTATAGTTTAATTTGCATTCAACAGCTCCCTGCAACATTTTGTGATCCTTCCACTATTTTAACCTTTATTGGCTACTCAGAGCCTATTTGCTGCTAACATCACCACGCAGTCACTTGGATGCGAGTCTAAACTGAAGATAGCCTGAAAAAATAGCATAGCTTCACACTGAACCTCACTGGCATAAAACAGCTCCCACTATGAAAAAAAAAAAGTATATATATACAAGCACACAGATATATCTTGACTCCAGGAAAAACATTTGAGGCAGCACTGCAGGAAGAAGATGCAAGGACCCCGTTCTAATTGCGAGAAACAGCACTAACTGCTCCAGTGCTGTGCCTGTTTGCAGCAGCTCACACTCTTTTTCACTGGCTAAGCCTAGGAAGCGAGTTTCTTCTGTCTTGAAATGTCTCCTGCACAAAACAGCTGTTGGAGATAAGAGCAGATCGTGATTAAATCGAGTGGGATCAGCATTCATGTTCTGACCTCCCTGGTTTCCATTTGTTAGTGGAGAGATGGGGGAGCAACTCCATGGTACCTTCCATGCTGCAGCAAATCGGGCACTACACACATAACTGAGGGATACAATAAAATTCTCTAAAAATCCACCATCCCACAAATGCATCTTCCTAGAAATGCCTCTGCAAAACACTTTTGAAAGAAGCCATCTTTTTCTCCTTACTGATGAGGTGTACTGCAGATGCCTCAACTGACCCTTCCTACTGCTGGGTGCTCTGTAATCACACAGCAGGGCAGTCCATGACCTATAATACCTACTTGGGACAGACAACGCAGGAAAAAGGCAAGAAACGGTCCTGCTTCCACAGCCCTGCTTGGGAAAAGGTATGAGGATTATACAGGCTGCAGGGAGGCTGCCTGGTAGAAGGAAACACCCACCTCCAGCATTGGAAGAAAAAGTGCAGGCAGAAAGGTCAGGGTACGGATGCCCACCTTGGTTTCACGTGCAGTGAGGTAAAGATAAGAGCAGGCTGGTGTGCTACTGCTCCTCCCTGATGCACACCTGGAGCTAGGTGAACTGGCAAAGTTAACTCCAAATGTCTTCCCTGCTGGGACCGTATGTTGCAATCTGTGTTCACAGGAGCATCTACTACTGACACAAGGGACAGGAGCCTCTGCTGTTACAGAAATAGCCAAATCTGTCCCGTTTCTGAATCTGGTGCTACAATGCCCTTAAACACCAGGTATTCCAAAACTGACTCCTCAGAAGCCAAAACAAAACTGAAGAAAGTGGCTTCTCCAGATGTAAAGTAGAAAAGGAAAGGAAAGAAAAAAACCCCAAAAGCCAAAAACCAACCTCCCCCCACCCCATTGCTCAGCTGCATAAAGGTGAAAACCAGACATTTCTGGAATCCTTTCCCAACTTTTGACTTATTGCACAGATTTACACCCTTGGGAACAGAGCTCTGAGTACACACACCTGAAACGCTCCCGAGATGCATCTGGAGCACCCATTACAAGCACCCACACAGTCAAAACAGAGATGAAATCGGTGCACTTATTTAGATTTTTCAAAAAGAGACAAACTGCTTAACCCATGGATCAAAAGATAAAAGCCAGAGTAAAGCCACATCAAGAAATGCCGTCCCATTTTCTCCACAGTTTGGCATTTCTATGCAGTGATTTTAAGAATGTCCATTAAAAAAAAAATCTCAAACACCAAAACTCTACCAGCTCCATGCCACCTCCACCCCTTCCCTCCCTGGCCCCCCCTGGGGCTACAAAGGCTTCCCCTAGTTAAAATTCCTATGAAGAAATAATAAAGAACCATTCTTGTGAGAGTCTATCTATCATGCCAGCACAAATTACCCTGCCATTTGCCAAACTGATGCACCCTTCTTAATCGTCTCTAATTTTGGCAGG